GATGCCATCACAGCTTTAAGATTTTTCAAAAACATACATGTTTAGAATAATGCTAATTCCCAGAAAGATAGATTGGTTAGTTATTTACTACTATGATGGTTTTCCTAAAATAAAATAAGATAAATATATCTTAGATATATTCTAAGGTAACAAAAGATGACGCTTATTTTAAGGTGATTACATACTTAAAAAGATCCTCCTAAATGTTACACTCTCACACTTTTTTTTTTTTTTTTTTAAGTATTTGTTTTGGGCTTTTATTGCCCTTACTTGATAGGACAGCTGAAGACAGAAAGGAAAGGGGGGCTGAGAGAGAGGGGATGACACGCAGCAAAGGGCTGCAGGTCAGATACAAACCCTGGGCCACTGCAGCAAGGACTCAGCCTCGGTACATGGGTCGCCAGCTCTACCAACTGAGCTAACTGGGCGCCAGTAGTGAAAGTGTGTGTATGCATGAGTGTGATGTATAATGAAATGTAAATGTCGGATGTTAAAACACAACTACTCCGAATACCAGGAATGATAATAAGATAGAGAGCCCCCGTCAGCCAGAGAGGCGGGGCTTTTATAGCTGGGAAACACCGGGCACAGGTGCTTCCGGCTATGCCAATTGGTCCAACCCACAAGTACCTGCTGCCTTTAGGCCCGGACACACCAACCCAATTATCGCCCTCGGACGTCGTCGGACAGTCATGCGAGGTCGGTGACTCGAGTCGGTTCGGTGTGTCCCGTGCCGTCGTCAGTCGGCGTTTATTTTGGCCGATTCAACATGTAGAATCGGCCAGTGGCCGTCGGCCTCAATGACCAATCTGATTGGTGGAGTGCTAGCCCTTGACTAGCGAATCAGTGAGTGCACAAGAAAACCGGAAGTGATGATGGTAAACATACTACGCCAACGCCAGTATCCTGTTATTATTAGCCATCATATTTTCCGTTCAGCGAGTAATGACAATAACGATCCTTCTTGACTACTATCAACACTCTCTGATGAAAACAATGACAGACGACAGCGTGCTCTGTGTTTACTAGGTCTAGAGAGATCCGTCATTTCCGGTTTTCATTTTTTTTGGGCGACAACACAGATTAGCGCCGCCTGCTGTTATAGGGACGTATTACGCCTCGCGCACGCGCAGAACGTATGCCCCAGTCGGCGTCGGTTTGGTGTGTTCGGAGGCACTTTTTTGACCGACTCGGGGGGACGGGAGCCGACTGATCAGTCCGACTGCTTTTCTGCCGACGGTCGGCTGTCGGGTTGGTGTGTCCTGGCCTTTAAAAGGAAGAGGAACCATTAGAGCCACTCAGGGGACAGTCACAAACTAAAGCCAAGAAAGCATTAGTGTAGGTTTTTTATAAACAGTTTAGTGTAAGGAGGCATTGGAATTGTATTTCATTAGAAAAGTTTAAAAAACCTATGTAGAAGAATAAAAGAGACACTGATCTTCTGTGTGTTCTGGTGCCATTCTATACGTTAGTACACAAAAAGGCTGAACCACTTGGAGACTCTTCCCAACACAGTACAGACTTAATCATCACTACCGCCATGGAAATGACTTGAGTGAGACAATGACATGGGGAATTTCTTGTATTAGACAATACACACTTCTCTAAATGACCCACCAATTCTTAAAACGAAGAATGTCAGGAAATGAATGAGTGGTCAGCAAAACAAATGTGCCGTTCATGTGGATTGGTTTCTGTTCATGCAACAAACAGAAATGGTGTCAAATCCTTAGCCTACATTTTAATGTTCTTTCATGAAAAGAATGGCAAACGCCCACGGGAGTTTCTTTTTTTCTACTGACAAGCTAGCTGCTTAAGCCTAATTAGAATGTGGATTATAGAACTGTTACAAAAATAACATTGATTTTATAGAAATTACTTTCATAGTGACAGATGAGACATTTGTTTATCGTGACTACATTATTACCATTAATTAAATCTTCACAAAGAAGTATAGTGCCTTGCTCCATGTCTTTTCATAGCACTAAATGACAGAATGCACTACTAAAACAAAGACAAGCCATTTCGTGGGCTAATAGCTTTTGTCGCATTTGACATGAGAGAGACAAAGGCCTCTTAAAAGAAAAGACTTGGTCTGATGAGAAATGTCTTTATTTGTTTATTTTCCTGCTCTGTCTCGGAGTGGCTTTTCAATAGCTGCCTCTCTTAGAGCTCTGTCAAGTCAATAAGGTAGTGAAAAACCATCTCAACATTGTGATCTTATAGACTGTTTCATGCTTAGCAGCTGGCTATATTGCACAAGTGTCTGTGGTTTCCTATAGTTTGCTTTTAAGTCCCCCTCCAGTCAGAAATCAGTGTTTCCACTTGTTCCTACAGTGTGCTGTTTGAATGGTGTCTGTGCAGAGTCTGACACTAGAAGGATGTTTTCACATTCATCTGCTGAAAGTGGAAAGTTTCTCTGTGCTCTTTGAAAATCAGATTTTAAGAGGCGGGGCCTACTAGCATGATTTGTGACATATTTGGAAGTTTAGTTTAGTTTAGTTAGTTTGAAAGTCAACCCTGGTCCAGTATGCAACTCAAAGTGTCATACACTAGTTCACATACAATGAGAATGGACTGAAATGTGCATATTCATAGATTCTGGATTTTTTAACAAGGTAGAAAGAGTTGATGTCTTCAGAATTTTGCTGCGGAAATTACAGTTTTAGTGGATAAAAACATTATTTTCTAAGCAGACCATACTGTATGCAGGGTCCGAAATCAACACCAGCCAGGCGTCAAATACTAAAAGCTATCGGCCACACTGGTGGGTAAATGTTTGTACTAAAATAGTCATGAAATAAAAAAAACTATGCTGAGAGTCTGGATTAGGGAAGAGCGATTGAATTAAACGCAGTCCCCTTTGCCTCCATTGAACGTAATTCCGTAGGCTGTGGCTTTCCAGCAATTGTAACTGGGAAACTGGGCATGCTTGTCATTATACAAATCGATCATAGGATTGTGATGTATGTTGCAACTTCGGCAATATCATACTGCCTTCCCCTGGACGCCTAGCTCCGCTATCCAGATTAGCTCCAGTCTCTGCCTGTCTGTGGAACAGCATTGTCAGTGTTGATTGACTCACACTTGTGATGTGTAACCAATCAGATGTGTTGTAGACATTGAGCCAGACTACAAAGTAGTATTATATAGTTTAGGCCTATAATTATAATATATTTATTATAGTACACTATGACTGCGTGACACAAAGACGATATCTTTTTTTGGCCCTAAAAAATATGCTTTTTTTCTACCAGTCCCCTTGGCTGGTGAGTCAAAAAGTTAATTTCAGACTGACTGCACGTGTTAATGAGTGTCTGGAGGGGATTATTAATCTAACACAGTGGTTCTTAACCTCTTTTCTTTAAAAGGGACCCCTTTTCTATCCTTGAGTAAACTGAAGACCCCTGCCTAAGTGATGTATTTTATTTTATATTCAGCACCTAACAACACTAGTGATCAACTGATAAAGTGAACATGAATCCCAACCCCTGGATTATGATACATATACGCAGCCCCTCCCAAATAAAAGCGGTAATTAGGCACATTAAAGCAACCAGCACCTCCAGCAGGGTCTTAAAACATGCAACAAGTATTTTAAATGAAGTACCTGGAGTATCTGAGGGACTCAGAAAAAGTTACTTGAGGTAATCATTTGGCTCTGTACCGCTGCGTAATCATCAGAATGGACCTCTGCTGTTTAGTAATGCGTTTGATGAGAGAGAAAAGGCCATTCTACTTCAACAAATTTAGAGAATTTCAGAAGCAGGATGGTTCAGTGTTTTTAGGACACAGGTTTTATCATACACTGCATCCTCTATGCTTAGCTCTCAGATGGCCCGAGCTCCATTAAGTCATTTCCTTCTAGTTTGCTAAGAGGCTTTTAGTCCATGCTTGCTTCTCTGACACTTGCACAAAGAAAGAAAATCATCACCTTGCTGGCTTCGTGGCTCAGGGCTGTGTTCAATAACATATCCAAAGTCAGACTCAACTTCTCAACATCAGAGCAAAGTGTCCAAAGACCACAACATCTGTGAAACTGTTGATTCAAATAATGTAATCAGCATAGAAAGAATAATAAGGCCACCACATGGTACATAACACTAGTTAAAGGATGCCTCAATTGGATCTAAGTAAGGAAATAATGGAACAATTATTTGCACCTTTGTATTTGTCACAATACCGTTCATCACTCCCAAAGTAGGACATTCATCTAAAAGTCTAACATCATCAAAGAGATGTGATTAACTTAACTGGTCAAACAGACTAGAACTTTCTTTTAATTCCTGTTTTAAGAAAATATATTTCTCCTAGGCTGTGATGACAGTGAATATCAGTTTAGTTATATACTCAGTGTCAATGTACTATTTCTCCCCTAAAAACTCTGTCTGAAGACTTTGTCTTTTTTTTTATTTTGTTTAAGGCTACAGACAGGTTAAGCCACTGCTTTCAATTTTAGGTCAACACTGAATACACTGAAATTGTATTTTAAATATGTGAATGAGGAATTATTTAATGATAATGGTACAGATGTAAACAGACAGCGTGTAGTAAAATAAACACCTAAATTTGTATTCTGGGCGTTTTCTTTCCACTAGTCTAAAAGAAGATGTGTTATGGAAGCAAAATAGACAAGTCTCAAAATTCACCAATGTATGTAAAAAATCATGTTTCTGCCTTTCGTGTTTCACCTTAAGATAAATAGAAGGCATACAGAAAATAGAAACATCAGATACAATGGACTTGTTTTCCACGTCAATTCAGTCTGTTTTGGGTTGCATTCAGACTTATAGTAGTAAAAATCAATCATGTGGTTGTAGATTTCTGAGGCAATGTAGTAAACACAACCAACATTAAACACCACTAACATATGACTAACATTTATTAAGTTTATTTTAAATCAATTACATTTCCAGAGGGGAAAACGCACCTAATTTTCTTTATACACTCACTAGAAAAATGTGTTGAAAACTTGTCAATTAGTCTCGCAAAACAAGACATTTGAAGAAAGAAGTTTAATTTTTACAGTTTTATTTATGGACCAAATGACAGATCAAGTAACCAAGATAATGAACGAAAGATTGACTGATGACGAAAATCATCAGTTGAATCCCTACGATACAATAAAGACAATAACAGCAGCTGGACTTATCAACTTCTAAACCTTTATCTCCCATGAGCTAATATAATACCAGAAATGACATTCAAAATACGTTATTCGTCCCTCAAGGGGAAATTGCATTCAATTTCTCATTGATGTTATCAGCTTTTTCAATGTCCATTTATTTTAAATATCCTTCCAATTGTTTTATTTGTTATTTCTGCCTGCTTTCCTTCTTTATTTCATGTAGTTTTTAGTATAACTTACTATAATATGAATTAATATAATGCTATCATTATATCTGTATTTTATTGTCATTTTTATCATTGCACTCAATTTTTAAATACCGGTATACCTTATTTAATTTGTACTGCATTCTGTCTTATCATCATCTTTCCAATCATGAAGTGATGAATCGTGAAGTACTTTAAACTGCACCAACCTGTATGAAATGTGCTATACAAATAGTTGATTGATTGATATAAAGATACTGTGCCACTATTCATTATAAAATATGACAACTTTTAAAAGGAGACATTATTAAAAATACTGTATATATACACATTGAATATTCTATCATTTATATTATATATAGTGATGCCATTTATCTTCCAACATGATAAAGTTTGAATGTGAGACAGTAATGTATTGTGCTGCTTACAGTCATTTACTACAGGTTTAAATTTCACATTTTCATATTGACAGATGTTACACGAACCAGGTTTTCAACTCTTGTACATGCAGGAAATCTTCCTAAAACCTCTGTGAAATAACATGTTATTTATATAAAACCACACTTATTACTGAATTTAAAAATGACCAAAACTATTCGTAAAAGTAAACCACTTTATGTTTAATTCATATTCCAGTTACACATGTTGCAAGTAACAAAGCTATAACTTATATAAACTGTGCAGATCGTGTCCGTCAGACTGTCCTGATGCTGCAGCTGTCTCTGTCCTCTGATGGGTCCAGGAACACCTGAGCTTCATCAGTTCACCTGTAAAACAAGGCTGATTCAGTGTTACTTGTAAGGCAGCATATATATACACACATATGTGCAGTACAAGTACAACAGCTCATTGTGGCTCAAAGTAGTCCTAAGTTATAAACTAAAATAATAAAACAGTATTTGACTCCACAAACAGCCTAGTGAGCGTCGTAGTTACAAAATATTACTAAACTAATGAATCCCTGCAGTTTGACCATTTCTCTCTCACCCTAGCTCTATCGTTAACTCCGGTGCACGTAGATCAAGTTAATTTACACACTGTAACACACACACACACACACACACACACACACACACACACACACACACCGTAACACACACACGAAAACAACGAAGCTAGCCCCAGCTGGTTAGCACATTAGCAAGTTACACAAACAGAAAAGAATCACCATAACTCACTCCTGTATTGATCCACACGAGGGGTGGGTATTGTCAAGGACTTCACGATATAATACGCATCACGATACATGGGTCACAATACGATTATATCACGATACATTGCAATACGATGTATATTGCGATATTCCACATAGTTAACTGAGAATGTAAAAACAGAACTATATTATATTGATAATTCAGCAGACAAATTGAGTAAAAAAAAATGTAATTCAAAATGTCCTTTTTCAATTTATTTATATTTGGCAAATTACCAAACACACAGATCTAGCTGCCATTACATCAAAATGAAAATGATGTGCACTCTTGCACTTTAACTGGACGCACTGATATTGAAAACAAGAAAATAAAGTGCACGGTGAACTCACAATTGCATATGCACAAGTACTCCTTATTGTCACCTTATTGTAGTTTGCCTAGCGTCGACAGGTTTTGGTTGCTGCTGTAACGCTTTTCTGCATCTGCATGGCGTCTGACAAGGTGAGTTCGCAAGTTGGTTGTGTTACCTGAATATTTCACTGCAGTGTGACAGAGCTTGCAAATTGCATTTGCTTTATCCAAGTCCATGCTCCCTGGTTTGTTTTTGAAACCGAAGTGCACCCACACATCAGCTTTGTATTTTGAAGGCGCTGCTCTAATACCGTCAGTAGACATGCTGCTTCCATTTCTCACTCTGCCAAAAACTGCGCCCGCCAATTCGGGGCAACTAGAGTGGTACTGCGACACCTACAGGAGCGGAGGTTGTAGTTCACATCACAACAACCTGTTTAAAACATGGTTTTTTTCCCCCTTCAAAATATCGATTTTTGGAGCTGGTAATCGATGTAGTATATCACGTAAATAAATATTGCGATACATCGATTTTTTAGCACAGCCCTAATCCACACGGTGAACAGCTACTTAGCTACCCAGCAGATGTGTAAGTTACCAGGTTAAAGACAATTAAATCTAACAGACGTTATCTTCCCTGTTCTACAAAATACAGACACCCCCCCCAGCACGAAGCTTGGTGATTCACGGCATAAACTTTGTGTGAATCTCTATAACAAATATCAGCAGGGGAGAATATGGAGACATCTGCACCAGCTGGCTTAATAAATTGACCTCACCTTATAAGTTTCATTTTCATCTTGCAAACATAACAAACAATAACTACGTTAGCATCACTGAGGCTCCTGTAGCTAACAACGGTTAGCATGTTCTAGCATTACACGAACAATGAAAAACAGCATAAACTCTTAAAAATACTTACAGTGACTTCCTCTGCCGTCTCTCCACAGACAGTTGGTACAATCCCTCTTTCAGGAACAGTCTTTCAGTCAGTCCAGTGTTGTACTGACCGAGGTTGTGAAAACAGTCCGACACAAAGTGGTTCACACACGTTCCGGCTTTTCCGACGGACATTGCCGTCAAAATTAAAAATAAATCCACTGTGTTCATACATATGTAAATTAGTGTTGGGCTGTGTTGCCAATGACTGAACAGTTAGTCTGCTGAAGCCTTTGCCCAGACATTAGGCTGCAGGCTGCAGGCTAGTCAACAAGTCAGTAAACTGTGGTGGGTGGCAACATAACTGACGTCAATAACGGGGAAAACGTCATCAATGGGGAAAAATCTGAGGCAGCCCACAAAAACATGACTGAGTCCTTTTTTTCCACACTTTGCCTGCTGATAGGCCTCCAGAGTCCCAAATGTACATAATCAAATGATTTAAAGTTGGTTTTGCATAATATGTCCCCTTTAATGCAAAACAACAAACATTCCATCTGACAAACAACTGTCTGTAAACCAAAATGATTTTATATTTTGGGTGGTGTTCTATTAGTAAGCATTACTATTACTAAAAAAATCTTTAATTCCATCAGGCCAGAAACTGCAGGTTATCTGGTCTCATCAACACCACTGCCGGTTGCACTCATGTGACCGTGTCATGTGACCGTGTCACATGAGAGATCATCCCATTAGTCACCAGTCTCTGCTTCAACATGTTGAAAATGCCAATATACAATCATACAGATCGTTTATTCTGTGTAATTGCAGCACACAGTAACTTTACGGCAGCAAGAGCGCTCAAAAGGCAGTAAAGTTTACAATGGATGTTCCAATCTCAAACCAACATTTAAATAAAGACATTTCACGATGTCTCAATCCTCGGTGTGGCTACCATCCGTGTCAGCTGACTGTCTGCAGTGTTAGCTAATCCACTTCAGCTGTACGCACTCATCACAACAGTGATAACGATGTACTTGTCCCTTTATTGAATTAACGTATGACTCACATTTATACTATGCTTGGTAAAAAAAACCCAATAAAATCAGTTCAAGTTATCTGTAACGTTAGCTAAAACGGTTAACAACGACTCTGTCTCGACTAGCCACTGTTAGCTACAGCTAGCATGCTAGCGTCGCTGGTTTACCATTTGACTCAGGAATGTATTTAACGTTAGTTGTATACAGCATGTATAGCGAAGGGTAACGACAGTTACTAACTACTACATTGTAACCTTAGTCCACATTTAATGTCATGTGTATAGACAGCTGTGATTCCCAATGTGTAGCTTAATAGCTCGTTATGTTAGCCATCATAACTGCCCCCGTGCTGGAATACAAACGATTCTGTCGTGGAAGATTTCTGCCTGAAACTGTCACTCTGTAATACTAAACATTCATATAAAGCATTGCTGTTTCCAGTTGACATGTAACAGGAGTGATATTTTGTCGCTATATTTTCCAACTAAAGGCTTAGATTAACTTTATTGCTTGTCATTGAAAGCAGCACAACAACCTTGCTGGCCTCTCCAGCAGCCTGCTAACGGTAACGGTACTTACTTAGCCTGGGCTGAGAGATGTAATTTCTGGTCACTGCCTGGGTGTGTGTCCTCGCAGCTGCCTGCAAGCCGTTGACGTCCATTGCCCTGTTTGCCACCAAGGTTGCCATCGTTGGACAAAGAGAAGAAAACCTGAGAAAGCTGAAGTTGATCGATGTGCTTTGCTAACTGGTGCTGAATAGCATAAATGACAGCAGAGCGCTGGTCATATGACACTGAGGAACCGGATGTGATGGAGAAGGGATGTGTGCGCGCGCATGAACCTATTGGGGTAAGTAGGGTTTTCTTTTTTAATTATAACACGTTGCCATAGCGTGGTTTGAAAAAAAATGAGTATACACATACAATTATTAAGTGTATTTGGGGGAAATATGCTTTTCTTAAAATGAGAAGAATGAACAGGCAATTACAGGCAACATGTGACAGTGAAGGCATCGTTCAGTACAGGATGCTCCTGCCTCCAGTAGAAAGCAAAAGCATTGTTAGCTAAAATCAACATTGTCATAAAAGTTTGTATCATGGCTTTCGTTAGCTGGTGAAGTCATTTGGCAAGCTAATGTTAGCCAACCAACATATCCAAATGACTTCACCAGCTAAAGTGATGACCCGTGATATAAAATGATGTATTATGGCAAATGGTGTTGATTTTAGCCAACAACAAATTAGAATGGTACATAGCAAAGATGCATAGCTAATGATTTTGCTACATTAGCAATAACATTAGCCATCTAAAACCACGATATCACCATATACCTCAGAAGCTCTGCTGAAATGTTCGCTCTGACTGAACTCTGTGTTGGGCTCTGTGTTGTGGTGGGTGTCTTTTGTAGACATAAGTGGACTCCATTTAAAAGCTAACGTTAGCTAGTGTTGCACACTGTTGACACTGTAGGGAAGCGGAGAGAGAAGGAACACAGGAAACGTGCATAAACGTCCCATCGTTTGGATGTTCGCAGAAAATCCAACCCTCATCCCTACATGAATCCCATAGAACTCAGTCCACAGGCAACAGGTGTCGTGGTGGCTGCTGGTCATTTGTAGACATTAGCAAACTCCATTTCAACAGAATTTTCCTATTCATGGGATCTCCTAGTTTTGTCTAGGTTACTCTCCACTCTTTCTGCCACCACAATGCACACGCAACTGCTTAAGCTTGGCACATAGCAAAGAATACTTTTTTTCCCCCTGATGCGGAGGGCCTTTTTGCACTCAGGAGCCCATGAGCATGTGCCCAGAATGCTCATAGGGTAGATCCGGGCCAGGTAGAGGTGGTACAGCTGAAAAAAAGTGATGGGTTTTTAGTGTGAAACAGTTACAGTGTTGCAATTATTGTTGAGTTTACACTCAAACTTGCATTCAGTTTGTGCAGCAGGCGGCAGAAAGTTTAGTTCTTTATTTTAAGTTAAACATTTAGATAATCACATTTGTTTGTCCATACAATGATCTAAAGGCACTTATCTGAGCAAAGTCAAAGGGGACAACAGTTTGCACTCACCTTCATAGAAAGAAATCACAATTCAATTGAACTGTTTTGTCAGCATCACAGCTTGAATGCTTTTGACATGATTAATGACATCAGTTGCCAGTTGGTGCTGAATAAACCACTGTGTCTGCAGGGTCTTAGAAAGTCTACAATCCAATAATCTGAACTTTAGGCCTTAAAATATCCTAAACATAATTTTGACAGGTCATATAATATCTATATTCTCACATAAAAAGCCACACACTCATGTCATACTCTCCACACTGTCACTCTAAAAGGGGTTTTACTGACAGTGGCAAAGCACAGAGTGACAGAAGAAGTGGAGCTTATTTGAAATAAGACCGGTCCGTATGTACTAATACAAGGTCATTTATTTTGTCTTTAAACAACACAAGGGTGCACGAAAAAAAGAAAGTTGTAGTCCCTTCATGTTACACACATACACACACAGAACTGATAATTAAGTAAGTATAACATAAAATGAAATAAAAAATTAAAGCTGCAATAGGTATAACTTTTTGCCATATTTGCTGAAACTTTTCACTATATCCTGACAGTAGAACATGAGACAGATAATCTGTTTGTTGATTGTTGTGTTCCCAGGTCACCAAATACCGACGCTTTGGGTTGGCGACTTAAACATAGTTGATAGTTGATTGTTGACCCCAACTGGTCGAGACAGACGACCACCCACCTAGAGCCGAAGGATCTGTCCTAGGTTTCTGCCTTTTAACAGGCAGTTTTTCCTTGCCCTTGTCGCCAAGGTCTTGCTCATGGTGGTACTGTTGGGTCTCTGTAAATAATGTTATAAAGAGTTCGGTCTAGACCTGCTCTATTTGAAAAGTGTCCTGAGATAACTTCTGTTATGAATTGGCGCTATACAAATAAAATTGAATTGAATTGAATTGAATTGTTGTCGTCAACGACCTTGGAATGAGACTAGCTATCTTTCTTGGCTTTGATTGGTTGTTTCCGTTCAGGCCCGGTGGATTCTTGCAAATACCATTAGGAGCACTAGGAGGAGCCAGAGGAACCTAATTTTTTCACAAATTATCTGTCTCATGTACGACTGTCAGGATATAGTATAAAAGTTACCAACTGCAGCTTTAATCCTTCTCTGATGACTGTAGGCTATTCCCATCAGAGGTGTTATGCAATAAAGCTGGGGGGAAAAAACAGATTGAGAAAAAAAAGGAAAGTCAAGTTTGAGGGAGATGCAGCAGCATCTGCATGCACAGCTGTTGCCATGTCATTACTTTGTTACTGTTCTTAGGGAAATAACTGCACAAAAGTGTATGATGATGAATTTATTGCGACAGCAGGTGAACAGGGATCAAATGTGCATTAGCTGCAAGCAGCACCAACAGCATGTTATCATGGGAGCAGATCCCAAAACAGGCTTCTTACTAAAATATGACAAAATATGAAATGGGAAATAAGAAATAATGTCCTGGTTCTCTTTGCAGCTTAGGTAAACTAAGGTCCCTTCCACAATCTTTACAGGAATTAAACTGTTCATAAGATATTTAAAATCTGACAGAAATGCTTAGTGATTTGTAGCTTGGATAGCTCTGCTGTATCCAATGTATATGTGCTTTCTCAGTATGTCTGCCTCTCTCTCACACACACACAACAGTACATGTCCTGGTGAGTGAACTGTTGAGTGACAGGTAAAATGACATGATTGCACACATTTTCCCCTTAAAAACTCTTAGTTTCCTGTTTTCTCATTTTTGAAGCTCTGATCCATTCTCGTTTGACGCAGCATGTTCTGCACAATAGCTTGTAAGCGACTGTTTGAAAATTATTTTGAACCATGCCCCCTGCACAACCAACAAACCGGCAGTCGCATGCCACATACAGACACGCACAGCCCTCTGATGGTGGAAAAGCACTACAGATTGAAGTGGTAAGCACTGCCATGGTGAGGCTGACAGCAGCCCCTAGAGAGCTCATCCAAACGTTTCAGGCCGCATGCAAAAAATAGCAAATTAATGCAAGTGAAGGGCTTCTGCCTACAGGAGCAGTGGCCTCATTTTAGAAATACCATTTTTTTTCAGTCCTTTATGATAAGTTCAAAGGGAGATGATTTCCTTCAAACTCCTCAGATCCACCCATAGGCAAATGGGTATCATAATATTCATGCATTCATGGTGTACGTCTGCTGTTGCTTACGTCGGCTTACACAGTGTCTTAATGGATCAAATTCAGCCTAGGAAACCACAACCATGTTGCGTTGTTCCACAGAGCACAAAAAGTCTTTCCAGGAAGCTCTGATTAACACAAATTCAACCAATCCCTTTGAATTCTGTACAGCCTTGCAAATTCATTATCACTGGAACAAGTTGTCTTCAATTTATGATGAATTATACAGAAAGAATAACAACTATTTTTGCAATTTTCACTTTTTCACAACTTAAAAAAAATGCTAAAAACATCTCAACATGCATCTCATCAACAATAACCTGCTAAATCCTGAAGGGACTAAATGTACATCCAGGTAGTGTGTCCTAGAACCTTGCGTGGGTGACAATGGGGTGAGAGATCAAAAAGAAAGAAAGAGGAGGAAGATGTTAAGTGGCCAATGTTAAACTGCTTTATAAAGAATGATGATAAGATGCAGTAGTAAGCAAGTAAGCAAGGCTAAAAACAGTTGCTGGGTCAGACTGTAGCTGAAGATGCTCCTGAGCTGCCTCAGCTCAGCGTGGAGAGGATGAGAGGGGTTGTCCATGATGGCTTTCAGCTTCCCTGGGATGACGTGTCTGCAGGTCTGCAACGGTGGAGTGGATGACGTCACAGGTGTGCGCCACTAATGCCGATGGAGGAATGTAAACAGTGACGACAATAGTGGCCGAAAACTCACAGTGCAGATAGTATGGCCTTAACCCTATGGCCAGCAGTTCAATGTCAGGTGTGCATATTTCTGCTTTCTTGACAGCATGTCCAGGGTTACACCATTTAGAGTTCACAAAGACAGCGAGCCCTCCTCCAGACTTTCTACCGCTCTGTTTCTTCCTGTCTGCCCCAACTAGTGAAAAGCCAGCTAGTTCCACTGAACAGTCTGGTGTAATGTCATTCAGCCATGTCTCCGTCAGACATAATACGCTGCACTCCCGATACTCTCACTGTCCGTTTACCAGGGCCGAGAGCTCGTCCATTTTGTTGTTCAGCGAGCGTACGTTTCCCATGACAACCGAGGGAAGACATGGCTTGTATCGCCACCGCGTCTCTGTCTTCTTGGTCCTCACCGACGTGCCTGCTCTGGTTCCTCTTCTTCGTCTCCTTAACTCCACCGGGATCTCCCTCGGGCATGCGACACATAAATCCCGATACCATAGGAAGTCCTCACGTGAATAACCTCTGGTGTTTTGTTGTGTGGTAGTTGTTTCCACATTCCTACACATTGTTTATATTTAAAAAAAGTAAAAAATTAACTACCAACACTGGAGGTCTGTTTACAACAATAAACACAGTGCTGTTTAAGAAGGAATAAAGTAGTAGTATAAATTTAAGGTGAAAAATAAGAGGCGGAGCTGGAGCTGTTGCGTCAAGCTGCCACTCTCTGCGGCGCTTCTAGAATACATAATGATGGTTTCCTTTCATATAGTTGGGCCAATAAGCCATATCTGTAATGCACAATACCCTGGAACCCTGGAGCCCTGGAACTGGCACACTTACTGTAAATGGGGATCAGCCAGGACCTGCTCCAGCTCAAGTTCCTGTGGGGATATGTGTATCGAGT